AGAATTTAATCACAATCTATGCAACTCTAATTGTGTAACCTATTTTTAATTATGTGCAAAACGAAAGATATGTGCATATAATTGAAGATATATTGTATACAATCAAAATTATGCTACACAGTACACACAACTGCAGAAAAGTTGTATACACATGAATTATACACATTTAAGGACTTGAATCCTTCTAGCCAAAATAATAATAATAATAATAAAGGACTTGAGTCCTTAAGTACCTTTGCACGATTTTTCTTTTTGATTCATGTTTTAGTAGAGGGAATTTATATTGTATTATGTATAAAAATAATGTATCCAATGGTATTGGAGGTAATTTACAATTTAGTTCCTAGGTTCAATTAAAACATTGAAAACTCCAAAATAAAAGACTTAGGTGTTATAAATAAAGAAGAAATATAGGGAAGAATCATACAAAGAAAGAGAGGATCAACAAGAAAGAGTATTTCTCATTCTATTCAAGTATGCTCAATACATTATATGTAGCCTCTATTTATAGGTACAGTTTTACACCTTTGATAGAATCTACAGATTACATAATTATATGAGATAATTGTTGGATATAGAGATAATGGGAGATATTAGAGATTATAGGAGATATAGGAGATAATGGGAGATATATGGACATCCACAAAGATATTATTATATGCATAACACTCCCCTTTGGATGTCCAATATATATGAATATGCTTCATTAAAAAACTTCAACTAGGAAAAACCCAGTGGGACAAAAACCTAGCGAAAGAAAAAGAGTACACTATTCATTGATACACTAGCAATGCTGCCTCATTAAAAACCTTGCTAGGAAAACCCAGTGAGACAAAACCATAAACAAGAAAAAAAGAATACAGCGTGTATTAACTCTCTCTTTTGACAACATCAGTTGACATCTTCAAGCCTACAAAGTCTAATATAACGAACAACCCTTCCAAATATTGTAATGAGATAAAAATGTCAAATATGAATTTCATGATGTTCTGAAAATCATGAGACGAATAGTCCTTTTATGGTTTACCCACACGCGGATCATATATAATCTATTGACATAAGGATCAAACAAGAATACTTTATCTATATAGCCATTAAGATTAGTCTTGGGTACCTTCATATAAAATAATATTACCTCCATGGCACCCTTAAAGTAATGAAGAATATTTTTAGTTCCATTCCAACATCTTCATGTTGATAAAAACTATATCATGCTAATCAGCAAATGATATATCAGGTTCTGTATGGCTAAATATATAAATGCTTTAATGATACTAAAATATAGTACTTCTGGACCAAGTGTTTATTCATTACCTTCTGGAGGTCTAAATCGATTTCTAATCCATATCTAAAGATCTTGCAACTACCAAAACACATAATGGATGTTACTTATTCACATAATGGATGTGATTTATCTATATGTATTCTTCTCAAAGCTTTCATTTCAAACTTTTTCTTTAAGTAATTCGTAGCTTTTGAAAACTCATCAGGAGTTTCAATGCTATCATCATAAATAGTACTGATAACAAACTCATTTTGAATCTTTTCACAAATAGACAAGTTGGAATATGTTTACATTATTCTTCCAGTCGATATTAACCATATATGCCTCATATAGACATTTAATTGAACAATGTTCTTGAGAACATAATTGTATGCTTCTAGAAGCTCAAATCCTTCAAGGATTTTCATACATTATGATTCAGATCAGTTCATGTATTGGATCGTTTGAATTTATACAAGAATTTGAATCCTTCTGGGATTCACATATAATTTCACTATAAAGTGAGTCATACATTATAGTTACATATTTCTAAGACACACATGAAAAAACGTCATTTATTACCAGACTATTAGGTTGATAAGACATGTAATTTAATCCATCACAAGACTTTATTTCTCTTTATATTGTACAAATGCCTATTTACATAATAGTAGCATTACACTTCAAGTGCATGGGCTAGGGATACACAAATCCTTGTTACATTGCGTCTGTTCTTTTCTGTTGGCCAACCATTTCTCTGTCTGTATCTCATGACAGATTTATATATAAGATCCTCATTTGATCATGTGATATCATCAATAAAATTATTATCGACAATTTTATTCCTTTATCGGTCCCATTTTCTTTTATAACATAGCATATCAAGATCTCTTTATTGCTTTCAGACACTTAAACCTCTTCAAGGGTCAAAGAGTTATGTCTTAACCTCTTTTGCAATTTATGCCTCCTTAGTATGATCATCATAATCATTCGCTCCTTTTTCTTCTTTTTTTTTTTGAACCGATCATAATCTTATGCTTTTAGCATGTTTTCAAGAATATGAGCACTTTTAGCTGGAATATAAGAATTAAGAATTCTCATTTGGGTCAGTAATTGCATCTGACAAATATTAGTAATATTTTACGAACACAATACTTTATAAACTTTTAGTTCATACTACTATATTTAAGGATCTACATTTGATAGTGAAAATACATTCTATGTATTTTCTTTTCCAGCTACACATTTTCCCCCCATCATATTTGGAACATGTAATGTAGGTCTCCCAAATCTATAAATCTCTTTTAGAAACATTTTTTTGTTTCATTTAGAGACAAACAAGAATAAGAAGATTCTTATCCAACAGTGATCCCAACTTACTTTTAATATCCATCTATGTGTATTGTTATGGTGGAATAATAGATATTGCACATTCTAAGACGAAAAATGTCTGGCTCCTGACCAAAAGCCAATTATAATGGGAGAATTCACAATACATTGTTAGCTTAATGCATTTATGTGCAAAATATATAAAATCAATCATCCAAACACTCAAATGGGAATTATGTTCTCATAAACTCTGATCTAGCTACTTATGAAGGCTCTTACTAAACATATAATCATCAGTAACAAGAAGAACAATCACTAACAATCTCAACGAGAGTCATATTGATTTCATAATTAGGAACTTATGTACTCAATATAATTATCTGAACATATTTGCAAACTTTAGGTTGCAAGTTGATCATCAACACCTGTGACCATTTTATAGATGCATCTTTCACTTATAGAGTATTACTTTGGTCCACATGGTGTCTAAAGGGGCCTATATATAAAGTTGATACATTATAAATCTGCACGTATCCAATTTTGAGCATAGCTAGTGATGTTCTCTTATTTAGTTCTTTTGAGAACAAACAACATATAAAAATTCTTGAATTATATATCATTTTTAAATAATCTTCTGGTTCTTTAATAAATGACAATGCACATTTTTCATGATATTTTACATTATTATGATCCGGGATGATCTGACTGGTCATGCCAAATTATAAATGCATAAACTTCTGGTTTATTATAAAATTATTCTCAATTATTAGTAAACTTCTCGTTACCATGTCATATTATTCATTTTTCACTTTAATATTTCATAAGGAATATGCTATCAATTATGGATTTGATCTTCATGATAATAAATTATGATATAGCTCTTCTAGAGCATTATTTTTCATCTTTTACCTAATGGTAAAAACTTGTACACTCATGGAAGGTTGAGTACTACTGACTCTTCTGGAGCCTTCTTCAAAAGCAATATAAGATATAAGGAATGACATTAATATTGATAATAACAAATTTCATCCAACATAATTTACAGTTGTATTTCAACAATCTCCAATCATAGCTATGGCACCCGATGTTTAAAACAACGGTAGATAATCTTTTTAATTCCATATAATGGCTTAGATTATCCTAGATAAATTGAATAAGAATACGGATACTCTGAAACACCATATATATGATGCTCGAGCTATTTTTATTTGAACAGAGCAAAGGATACTCTAAAATTATGCTGGGATAAAAAGGTATATCATTCGCACCTTGGTTAGAGTTTCGTGTTGATAACGTGCTATAAATAAAGAAGAAATATAGAGAAGAATCATACAGAGGAAGAGAGGATTAACAAGAAAGAGTATTTCTCATTCCATTCAAGTGTGCTCAATACATTATACGTAGCTTCTATTTATAGGTACAGTTTTACACCTTTGATAGAATCTATAGATTACATAATAATATGAGATAATTGTTGGATATAGAGATAATAAGAGATATTAAAGATTATAGGAGATATATAGACATCCACGGAGGTATTATTATATTCATAACATCAGCCATATTTTTCTTTTATTAAATTTCAAATTCAGATAAGACTAGCTAAATCGAGATAAATGCCACCCCTTTTTCTCTCCATGCAAAATCTCCTCTTCACTACTAGGGATGCAGCCGCGGTTTATTGCGGTTTATTGTTTAGCAGCCATTGCCCACTGAAGTACGAAGGAGACATGGAGATATGGGTGTATATTACACTATTGGCCCCCAAAAATTATAGTCCGCGCATACAAATTTTTTTAAGGGAAATTGTAATAAGATTTCACCCAAGAGAATTAAATACAAAAAAATCTTTTAAAATTATCAAATTATTCTAAAGACCCAAAAAACCTCATTGCAAGACGTTTTATTTATTTAATTATCAAATTGGCATCAACTAAAAGAGCAGTCATTAATAATTTAAGGTGTAACGATTAATAACTATCGCAACATGTATTAACAGCACACTTTCTCAACACATCACAAAAATGTAATACATGAGTTGTCAATATCTGTCATGATAGTTACTAATCACTGCATCTTAAGTTGTTAACAATTGTACTTTCAATTGTCAACACATACTTTAAATAAAAATAAGGATAATTTGGTAATTAAACAAATAAAATTTCTCACAATAAGATCTCTTAAGATTTCAGATTAATTTAATGATTTTAAAAAAAAATTGTATTTAATTCTCTTTTTCTTCTTTTTATTGGGGGATGTTCGCCACGCTACACTTGTTTTTCTGGCTCCGTCCCTGCCTTCACCGGTGGAAGATTTGATGCAAATATGCATGCACAAATCTCCATTTTAACAAGTCTGGAAAATTATGAAGGGTGCAGATTTTCAACCCAAAAAAAAAAAAAGGACGAAATTGGAAACAAAGAAGTTAATTATTTCTAAACAAAAGGGTAGCATTTTCAATTATTTCAACCGACAACTGTATAATTGCAAAGGCAGGTAGAAAATAAAAATTACATGAACACGTCAAAATTTGAAAGGGGAAAAAAAGGAAAAGAAAAGGGATGAAAAGAATGTTTAAAAAAATGGAATCAAAAAGTGAAGTTGCATAAAAAAGAAAATCACACCTCTAGCTAAACCCCCCATATAAGATATAAATTGAAAATTTAGGTGGCATGTCAGCATATTCAGCTGGCACCAGAGGCATTCTGCCAAGCAGCTGGTTTTTCCCCTATTTGAAAAATAAGCCCTTCTTTCCAGTTCTTTTGCCCGCAGCCTGCAGGAGTCACAAAGATTTCATACCCTTAATACACTCAGCATAATCTCTCTTTTATATCCATTACCTGGAAAAAGCCTATTATCCAAAACAGAAACTACCACATCAATTATAATCACCAGGTCATAACAAGGGGGAAGATTTATACCTTTTGAATGAAATTTCTCAAGACAAGCACAATGGTATCCCTGGAACTGCAAAAAGAGCATGAAAGATACTAAATATCAAAAGCAGAGAACCAAAGGCATTCAAGAGAGTACAACAACTATAAATGCACGTAAAGCGTGACCAAATATGCATTAACTGTCCATATAACGAATAATTGCTACTTACCCACTGGCATCTGTTGAGTTGTTTTCTGTTCGTAACAGAAGCTCAACACCACTAGAACAAATCATTACAAATTCCAAAACATGTCCATGAGGAATCACAACCTACAGGGAAAGAGAAAGGAGATAAAGAACCTAGCTTATCCCAAAAAACACTCTCCCATAAACACATAAGCTTGTTTAGAATAGTTCGCTATAACCATGCTAGCTGCAGAGCTCATCAGCTTTCATGAACTACCGCGTAAGTCCTGCTACTGACCTTTTCTAATAAAACTTTTAAGAAAGGGTTCAAGTGATTAAGGAAGGCATCAAGAAAGAAATTCCATTCACGCTTTCTGTTTCTCCTGATACCCATCTAGTGAGAAAAATCGCGTCATTAGACACAAAATTGAAAGCCAGGCACTGAGATAATCCACAAATTTCAGAGACAAAACATGAATCTCCACCAAGAATGCACTATAAGGAATGTTGCCTGGAAGGATTAACAATTTTCCAAGGAATAAGATTTTGTGTTTTATAATAGAAATAAGTGGTGAAGGAGGAAGGACTGTTTGACAGTACGCCTCTTTATAAGGATGCATTTGGTAAGCGGAAATCCTAATTACTCAAATCCTAAGAGTAAGATATATCAGAACGAGATATAAGACAAATTCAAGTTACTTGAGTAAACAAGTTAGATTAGGTCGTACCAAACACTGAAGTGTGGAATTCTTAATATTCCACAAAAATCATACTAAAATGTCTTACGAATAGACATCCAAATACTTGGAATGTAAAAATGCACACTTATCAATCACAGCCTAGTATTTATTTATCTCCTCAGGGGTATCAATAACTTCACATTACCATCTAACCAAACTGTTCTCACAAATACAGAACAGTGGATCGAGGAAACAACCCTGACGGATGGAGAAAATTTTTCTGAGAATACATCTCCACTTGGTCCCCTGCATTTGATACTGTAACCATGCCTCTTAATGGTCAGAGTAGCTGGTTCCCATATATCAAGATATCCAGTCTGTAAAACCAGCACGAAGATATTTTAAAACAGAAGTTCTTCATGGAAAACAGCAAGACAAGATTTTGCATAATGATAGAAAAGAGAAAACTAAGAAACAACTTTCAGTGAATTACCGGAAGAGAGACTTCATAAGAAGCACGTCCACTATGAAGAGTCCTCTCAACGTAGCTCTGCATTTCAGAATCTGAGAAAAAAAGAAAATTACTCAATAAACTATAAGTTTCTGCTCTTAGGGGGATGTCTAATCCTCCTCATTTGCAATGTCTTCCTTCTTTGCTAATAACTTCTTAAAGAAAGAAAACACAATGAGATGGAGAGAATTGAATTTTGGAAAGTGAAGTACAATTATATAGTGATCATGAAAACAAGTTTTCCTCTAAAATCACTTAAGGCAACAAAGCATGATTAAAACAATAAAGAAAGAATAAAAACAACAAAGTTAAGCCATAACATTTAACTCAGTTCAATTAGCAGTCTTTTAAGCCAAGTTGTCACATACCACCTTCATAGGCCATCACATTTAACTCTCAGTTCAACTAGCAGCCTTTTAAGTCATAACCCTTCACAAATGCTTTAAGCTAGAGCTCTATATTCAACTTCAGCGTTAACTAAGTTTCCTCAAATATAAGAGTCGTGCCTGAAGTAGACCTACTATTAGTTATAGATCCTACCCGACAGCATCATAATACACTTCAATGTCATGCTCATCATCCTTATAAGAGAAGATTCTCTTCCTTGGAGCCATTTTCAGAACTCTCATGATCTTGTAGGCAACTTCAAGATGAGTTTCAGTAGGTTCCATGGCAGGTTCTTAAATAATCTTCCCCTATTCCTCCTGAAATTCAGCCTGTCCTTCCTCCAGAACATCCACTCCCCCCTCCTACAGCATGAAACCCTCCTTTGGTCCCTCTTTCCACCGACCTTTCTAGTATAAACCATGGTACAATCTGGTCAACCACTCACGGCCTTGACAGCATTAGTTGAAGCCCCATCAATCATGTTTCTACTTTTTGGATTCCTACTATAGGCTTTTTATAGTGGTTTGATTAGTTCGAGTAATCCCATCATGTTTCTCAGAAACTCACTGTAAATTTGCAATCCTTTGCTTCACACCCACCTCTACCTCATATCTCGCAAATATGGTAGCATCTAAAAGCTATTGAGTTGCCGGACTTAGAAAAAAATTAAAGAATGCACAGGCACTCACCACAAGTGATCTTTTTCTTATCATTTGCATAAACCGTCACAGGTTCTCCCTACAATAACACAGAATGCAAGTAACATTTAGTTAAATCGCTGAAGTAACCTTCTCTCGGTGTTCAGATCCCATCAGTATGTAAAGACTCCTCAGTACACTTCTCTAACCAATCAAATATAATTTAAGATCATTGATAGATGACACTTAAATATTTCATCGATAAGAAGCGTATCCACATTCAAGCATCATCATGAAGATTATCATTCAAGTATCTTTTTTTCGTAAGATAAATGTAACTGTCTCCGAAGTGAGAAAAAGTACCTTGCGATTCCTGTCATCCAGAGGCAGAACTTGAACGGCAAGGTATGTATCAACATCATCAGCAGTAACAAGATAGTTGGGTCGCATTGCCCCTATATTTTTGGTCACAAGATTAATGACTGAGGTCTTCTTGTTAGGAAGGAACAAAGGGTAAATATAATCTAGAAGAAGAAAATACCATCAATAATATTAACAGATCCATCTTCAAAATGCCGAATCCACTGGAAAACCAAAGGGAGGGGTACAAAAGGTAATGTTAAACATGACAATTATCAAACATAAAAAAAAATGTATTAGGTATTAAAAGGAATAAAATTGACCTCAAAATTGCAAATACTGGTGCCGTTGATACAGTATCCACATGCCAGAAGTTCTTTTCCTGGAAAAGGTTCCCCGAAAATTTGGAGATCCACTAGAGCTGGTAGAGGACCATCATCTATATCTGCATAATGCATTTACTGCCGAAATTAGTGCTTTGATAAATAAAGTAAGTTCAAAACACCCTCGGAAGATGGAGAAATGTTTAAATGTTTAAAAGGTAACGGAGGAGTGAGGTCACCCCTCGATTTCCAATCAACTCCAATATGGGAGGAGTTTGAGATGGGTTGGCATCTTCATAACTTCGTATTGACTTTCTTGATCATCCCCACTTTCCTTTTCACTTGAATACAAATAATATTGGAAGTTTTACTTTCCGTACCATAGTTATCAAAGTGCATGATTCACAATCCAAATTTTATTATTCTTAAAGAGATGCACAGCCAACTTTATGACCCAATGGCTGAATTACAAGAATTCCTCAATAGGTAATCAATCATATAAGTTTGCGCAACAAGAGCCACCGTGAAATAAGCACAATTCTACAATCCAAAAGCGCGTGAAAACAATAAGTTGGTGCGGCATTATGGTATTTTTGCTGAATATCATCTATGCCTCTTATAAAGCAAAGAAAGATGAGTCAATTACTTAGAAGCTTATGACCTTTATCAGTTTATCTATAGCTTACAGTTGAATTTTTTTCCCCCCTGAACTCTGTTAAGTTTATTATCTTGAGTATTCTCGGAACATGATAAGAATATAAACATGTCATATTTTAAGCTATCTTTTCACATTCAATTAGTATTACAATTAGATGTGTTTTACAACTTATGATTGCAAAAAATACTTTTAGAATTTGCTCAGCATTGCAGTTGACAACCATGCGTTAAACCTACTTCACCTCTGTGGACGGTTACCACAGCAAGCGTGCAACAGTTATTTCTACCTTCAACAAGAGTTTCTACCCTCTCTCTCACCCCTATAAGAGTTTTCTTCCCAGGGAGAATTCCTTATCTCCTCTATCAGTTTTCTTCTCTCTTTATTTCTATCGTCAGCTAATTTTCCATCGCAAAAAGAAAACTTGAGAACTACTGCTTCCAAGATAAGGAGAAGAGGAGGAACACGGACCACCAACACTGGTTATATAGGGAGAGTTACCTGAACTCCGATTGGAGGAAGTTTCTCTCTCATTCCGATTTGCGTCTCCATCATGATCGTTCACCCCTATATTGTTACTCTCAGGCTCGCGAGTTGTGTCGCCCGTCTTCGGGGCCACACCATAGAATGAATTCTCGCTTGTTATTTGTCTCCCTGATTCATCAGCTTCTACCTTATTTGCCGCACCATCAAGTCCGACCAAGTGGCTCTGATGACCACCCGATATGTCCCGATCAGAGACCGACTGAGGGACCACTCCCATCCTTTCTTGATTCTGGGAACATGAAAAATAAAATCAAAATATAACATTGTACACTGGAATTCAACATGTCAGTAGCTGCTAAGCATACCTCATTGCGAATAAGTTGTTCCTGCAAATGTCTGAACAAAACCTGCGAAGGAGAGCTTCTTATTATGAATCAATGCATGCGATTAATGTCTTAGAATCACCATCACCAACCTAATCCAAAGCAAATTACATATGTGTGTGTGTACATATGTATGTATGCATGTATGAAGGAATCTGAATGGGCTGACTTATAATGTGGCTCCTGTAACTTTTACATCATATTGATGAGACAACGAAACAAATCTCTGTCCGCCATAACATATTGATTAATTTCATAGATTTGGAATTAAAAAAAACAAAGAAAGAGAAGGATGACCTTGAGATTGCTAACAACGGAGCGAGCATCAGGATCAGGTGGCTGGAGAGAATATTGAGCGAGAAGGGGCAACAACGTTGACATAAATGTCAATCTTTCTTGCTCTGCATTCTGACACAACACAAATCAAAGTACCTACTTTTAAATTCATTCCAAATCCCAATCATTTAAACAACATCAACCCAAAAAGGAGAATTTTTTTTTATGCGCTTAAATTATGTTTTCCATCTCTTTCGCTCCTAAATTTTTAAAATATATGATTCACTTTTAAAAATTTAATATACTTAGGGGTATGTGGTTTTCTAATCTTGAGAGACCAGAATGAATTATACTATAATTTAGTTTAATTTCAGTATACTTATAATTATTCTTGATAAATCTCTTATGATTTTGCAAAAATTACGCATGCAACTATTTGTTTCAAAATTTTACTACTTATTTTTACGATAATTTTATGTAAATTCCAAAAATAATGTGCACTTACAAATCTCGATGTAGTTTATTTTTATTTGTAGAAATTTATGTAAGTTTTGAAAAATTATACATACGTATGTGTAATTTTACCCAACTTATAATAAAAAAATGTACGATATATAAATATAATAAATACACATAATTTTCAAGAAAAAATCATTTTGCATGTACTTATATTTTTCTTTAAATTTTAAATTCGGCAACTTAAATTTTAAAATACTAAAAAAATTTGAAAAATTTAAAATACATATATAGAAACCAAATTAAAAATTGAAGGAAAAATATAAGCACCTGCATAATAATTTTTCCTAACTTTTAATACAAATCATAATTTTAACCACAATTACTATAAAAAGGGCTTTGAGTACCAATGCATATTAATCAGGTCTATTAAGTAGATACTCCCTCTATTTTTTAATATAAGGTTCCTTTAAAGATTCTGCTTGAAGTCCCATTACATTTTATCATAATTCATTAAGTATTTTTATCTTTGCTCTGGTTAAAAAAAAGTATTTTTATCTTTACAGAATAAATTCTAAGCATTAAATGATTGTTTTGGGAAAAAAAAAATCACAAACTTTCTAAATATTAATAATTATGAATAATTAACTTATCTAATTTTCAAGATAAATAAAAAAATTTGTTTAAAACAGCTTATAAATAAATTTTTAAACGTGATTTATATAATACAAGATAAATACGTAAAAAAAATTTATCTCAATTGATGTGAAAATATTGTAAACGTGTCCAAACAGGCCCAAAGTTCCTATGAAGGAGTAGGGGACCGACACCAATTAGCATAGAAAATTGACATTGGTACTTTCTGGGCGACAGGAGAAAGCCGTACCTCCAAGGCATACGCGAGATGAATATTCTCTTCAATAATCTGCTGTCTGTATGACGAAGATTTTGATTCTGAATTTTCTAGGTTATGTTGCTGGTGATCAAAGGCCTTCGCACACAAATTCCCACTATAATTAACTAATTTTCCAGGAATTTAAGCCAAAGGAGCTCAAGAATCTGAAGCATACCACATGAATATCTGCAATACGCTTTTGCAGATCATCATTTTCATGGCGTATCTGTGCTTCCTACAACAAAAAACACCACCCACTCACATGACTTGACAAGAATGAAATGCAAAAATTAAAAACCCTATTTTACCTTGATGGAATAATCCGCCAGACGCTTCCTCAGCTGCAAGAGCTCTCTCTCGTTCTCACGAATCCTTGCGAAGAGCTCCTAAATCTCAAGAGATTCAATTTGAGTGGTCTTGATTGGATCGATTCAACTAAAGATTGAATGGAATTGGTTTCGAACAACTCAAAAATAAATTGAAATTCAGTACCTGGTTTTCTGGGCTATTATTAGACTTGGATGCTTCAGGTTTCGCCATATTGAAGAGAGATTGAGCTTACTGTAAAGGAAGAATAAAGGAGAAGCTTCATCCCATGCAAGTCTTTCTTGCATTGACTCATCCTTGCTTGGTTGAAACGGCCACATTTGCACTGTTGATTTTAAAAAAGAAAAAAAAATTAATCTCCATTGGCTTCAGGATGGAAATTACCATTTATTTGTGATAAACGGGAAGAAATTTTTGTGGAAAGGAATAGAAGTCCAAAGGCATACGACACCTTTTGCGTACATGAGAGTTTTAATTTCTTTGTTGATCTTCAAGTTGAAGAAGACACTTTTAACCTCTTGGATTGTGTTTTCTCTTTCCCACCTATTGTAACTACTACTTTCAAGATTTAGTTGACTAATTTAAAGAGATTAGAGAAAAAAGTTAAGTTAATTATTTATAATAAATATGTGTTGTCTTTCCTAAAATATCCTTGTTAATCAAATGCATTGGTTATAACTATTATTGTCAAAAGGACTACTTTAAAAAAAATACATAAATATGAGAAACAAAATGGATTGAGATCTTAAATTTAGGATTAAAATAAAAATCAAAGTATTATATTAATAACTGGAGGTAGTATTATTTATTTCCTTCCAAGAGCACCCCTGCTTCTCGTCACTTTCATTCCATCTTCTTCTGCTCTTTTTATTTCCTGTGATGGACAAGTAAACCCATTTTTTTAACTATGAAGGAAAATTTAAGGGGGGAAAAAATAATATTAGCTTAATTTCAAATATACCCTCAGAAAAACCACATATACGTTTAAGATATCATTTGTGGTGGAAAAAATATATTTTAATCATTTTGATGTGTTGAAGATCTTATGGCTCAATTTTTATCACCTAAAAATTGAGGAACATCAATGCTCATTTGCTTGTGACAATGAATTAGATGCTTGGGTCTCATTATATCCAGCATATTCCAACCACATTACAGTGATTATGTTTGATTACATCTGTCGAGATGAAAGGTTAGAAGTAATCTAGGCTTGCTTTTGAAAATGAACTTTTAGCATCCATAATAATACTAATGTGGGGGACTATAGTGTTGATCTTTTCAGCATCAAACTAAACATGTTCCAAGTTAGCTAACACTAATGGGTTTAGGGCATTGAGACCAGCATTCTTATGTGCTATTCACCCAAGTTTTTGAAAATACACACGAGAAACAGAAATACAAATTTCAACCAAAAATACATAAATATAAATGAAATACTACATCCGGTCCTTAATATAAGACCCTGTTTGACTTTTATTTTGGTCCTAAATATAAGACCTCAATTCACTTTGTCTCTCATATTTACTCAATTTTTTCCAAGATAGTCCTTCTAATAATTGTAGTTCTAGTCAATACACTTGATTAGCAAGGATATTTTAGGAAAGACAACACCTATTTAGAAGAAATAACTAACTCAACTTACTTCCTTAATCTCCTCAAATTAGTCAACTGGCTCTTATAATTAGGACCGGAGGTAGTATTTAAAAAATGAGTTACGCATAGAAATAAGTTCTTCCATCAACAATCCTCATATTTTTTGTTTAAAATGACATGAAAGAGAACAAAGTCTTAGTAAGTAAATTAGCAGCTTGTTTTATTAACGGTGCAATTGACAAGTCGAATAATAAGATGATCACGAATTGATTGCACCAATCACTCATTGATAACTCTCTTTTCTTTTTCTTTTTTTTTTTCGGTTGATTGCTAAGAAGATTGAGATGGTGGAAAATTTTGTAGGTTTATTTCATACAATAGAGCCTATAAAGACCAACGGGGTTGGTTCAAGTGATAAGCAGCTTGGTATCGCTTAAGCGAGGTCTCGAGTTCGAGTCTCAGCGTATGCAGAAATCCCCGTTGGGAGACTCACCCACCAAAACCAGGTGCACGACGCAAATCAAATCCAGATGTAATCAGAACAAAGCTCCGGTGAACTGGGTAGGCAACCAAAAAAAAAAATAGAGTCTATAAAGCTCATGCCAGATTGGTGAAGTATCATAACCAACTAGCTCATCAAGCATCGATCAACATGTAGAGGAGAGTAGCCACAAAGCTAATGCACCATCTAGCATTCTAGCTTTTCATAAGCAACAGATTCTAGATTAACCAAGTTCAGTGGACAATCATTACAAATCTTAATAGGTGTAATTTCTGACTGTCCTTCAAGATGAGTGAGCTAGCTCATTTTGCTTCACAAACAAGTAAACATGTTGCTTATTGAGGTGAAGGTTATTTATGCATAGCCATATATGGCATTAACCTACCGCAGTTAGATCACTTCTTTTGCTACTTGAAACTTGGTGAATAGTCAGCAAAATCAGCTATGATAACACCGTCAATTGTCTTGTAATTTAGGAGGTGTTTGGGTGATTGCCCAAACCATGATTTGGAAAAAAAAATTACCCAAACACCCATCAATTTTTTGAAACCATGATAAAACCATGGTTTTATGATAAAACCATGGTTTGCCTATCAAAACCAAAGTTTTGTAATAAGTAAAAAATTTTTGCTTTTTGAGCGGTTATCCCCTCACCCCCTACAGTAATTTTTTTTGGTTGAAAACAATTATTTATTTTTCTAAAAACATAATCTTATATTTTATAATTATATATACACATATTAACAATTACTACATCCTGTCTTTAATATAAAACCTCATTTGACTTTTATTTGGTTTTAAATATAAAATCCCAATCTATTTTATTTCTCATATTTGTCTATCGTTTTTCAAGTTATAACCAATAAACTTGATTAATAGGGATATTGTAAGAAAGGCAACACTTATTTATTACAAATAACTAACTTAACTTATTTTTTTTAATCTACTCAAATTAGTCAACTAACTCTTACATTTAGAACTGGATATAGTAATTAATATATGTTTTTATACATTGTTTATTATGTTGGCAAAAAAAAACAAATTTATTATTTCGGTCTTTAATGTAGGATCTAATTGGAGAGTTAATATTGGTCTTAAATCTAAGATTATTATTCCGGTCATTAATGTAGAACATAATTAGAGAGTTAATATGCAGACAAGGTCTTAAACTTTTATTGAAGGAAAGCTTCAACTAGACTGGTATTATGTAGTTAAAAAAACTTATTATAAATGCTCTATATCGATGCGACATCTTAATTATTATAGCACTTTTTTATTCATTTTTCTATAAACATATTTAATCTTTTTTTTATAAATATATACATATATTAATTATTTATTAATTATATTTTCTTATATATTATTAATTATGTTGGTAAAAAAAATATTATTAATAATTTTATTCCTTCAAATTAAAATATATTATAAAACCTATTTTTTATGTAATTATCATATTTGTATGCTTTTTTTAGTAATTTGTACATATGAAAAGTACTTCTAACAACAACTATCCAAACACTCTCACTTTATCATAATTATTTTTTCATAAAATCTATTTTTCTCAGAATTTATTATCTAGAAACTATTTTCCGAATCATGATTTGGTTGCATCTAAACACCCCCTTAGTGACATTAAAATTTCCTTGTAAGTGAAACCATCGCATGTTTGATCTTGTTTATAAGTACTTATCCCTTTTAATTTTTCTTTGAAAAACGAGTCATAGCTTTCCATAGCAAGATTGAACACTCAGTTCAAGGACTCGGGGGGAGCTTGGATCACTGAAACAAATGAGCACTAATCAGCAAAATTCTAGACAACTCCGAGGAAGCAGCAAGTTCAAGAGTCTCTAATCATGCTTTAACTCTGGACTCTTAATGAACCACCCAGCTCTTGCTTTAATAACTGATCTGTTTTCTCCGTCCGCTTCTCCGTTATCGTCACACTAGAACCATACGGTGGAGCTTCTCAGTATTATCATCTTGGATAGGAGTCCTTCCTGTTTGTATGCGCTCCCAGACTTACCATGATCTAGAAATTCTGAGTATTCATTAATCATTGACAGTACAGTTCAGATCTTTTATACACATACTCCCTCAAACTCATTATATTCAATATACACAAAGTTTAGAACCTTCTTGTACTTAAGTTTTAAATACACTGATGATCGAAAATAGGATATGTATGCAGATAACCGCATCCTAGCACAGAGATCTTTGACATACCACATTAAATTTGTCAGACTACATATCTCCGATTCCAATGAGGATAATGTAACCATGAGAACTTAAGATGCCCCAATTCCTTTAACACGGGAGGCATAACACCCGAGGCCTTATAGCGTAGTTATGGGGTCCCACGAATTTGTATACCTCAAGTTCCTTAGAATCTTGCACATTATAAGTGAGTCCCAAGAATTGGATAGATCATCAAAATTGAAAATTAATTTAAAGGATCCAACAAGGCTTATGCGCACAAAGATATGCACAAACCAATGACAGTACCAGAACGCAAAGCAAAAAATTGATTTACAAGATGAGGGGGGAAAAAACTGGAAAATATGGCAAATGGTGTAACTGCACACAGAAGATTACATTTCAAGCTGAAGCCTACCCTTTAAAATAATACAAAGGAAAAGGCAATAATTTAGATTGCAAACAAAATCCACTACTTCCTGTGCCCATCCTTCCTATATTATTCCCCCGACACCTGAAACTGTGTACAAAGCAGTTGGTTTTCCCTTACTTGTTAAAGAATAAACCCTTCTTCTTTCCCCTCCTTTTCTCCCCAGCCTGCAGAAGCACAGAAAGATCAAAACCCAGGTCATTTCAGTTACTGTTTAATATTTGAAGCTAAATCCATGTCCCAATAATCTGGCAAACATATATTAATAATAATATTCCTCCGGTCCTAAATATAAGACCCCTTTTGTAGCATAAAAAAAATCTTATTTAAGACCGGAGGAGTATTATTTATGTACCAAGGCAATATATATGCTATTCTTTTCTAAGGTCACGTCGGGTATTCTGAATATAAAATCGTAAATGCACTAAGTTGATGTACGAGAGTACGCCTCAATACCAATAGAGCAAGAGATTTATGCAACATTTGATATGTGAAGGAAAAAGTGTTCTCTAGAAAGAAAACAGGAGAGCACACAGTGCACTTACCTATTTCCCTTTTAGAATAATACACTAATCCGCATACCAAACATTGCCCTATAGTCCAAATAATTTCCAAGATACCCTAGACAATAACAATTAAAATCTACTCTGAGCTTTGATGATTTATGGTTTGCCAGAAATAAAAACCACAATACTGGCATTGATACCCAAACTATAACTCAAGACATGATAAGTCAGCATCATCCTCGCAAAGCTTAGATTCAAATTTAGGCAATATAAAATGGTTCCTCCGATGCAAATTTTGTAATGTGGACACATAGTAACGAAGTAACAATCACTGGGAGGGAAAGTTGAACAACGTTGACAAACCAATTCTTTCCATCTCACATTTCTTATTTGGTCTTAGTCATGAGTGCAGGGGTGTCTCTGATACTAATTTAAACAAAGTAACAGATTGAGGATTATTTTACAAGTCATAACAAACTGAAATACGAAGCAACAGCTCAAAGTGTAAAAGAGCGCTTAACATGTACCCGTAGGATGAACAATCTCAAGGTGAGCACAATAGTGTCTCTCCAACTGCAGAAGGAGCAACGAAATACAAAATATCAAAAGTAGAAACCAATGAACATTTAATATCAACAAACAAATATCAAGAAAATCCACATTATATCCACAACCATTATCAGGAACTTAATTTTTCCTGGGGGAAAAAGAATAAAGAAAACTATTTTCTTGCCGAGGAATTGAAAAAAGGACGACAACTTCAAATCCCCTGTAAATAGCACAATATATCAAAGGTTTGTTGACAGAAAGTGAGGGCAAACTTATTCAGATTCTTCCCATTATTGTCAAAGAATATTGAAATGGTTTTTAGCAAGAGCGTCAGCTCAAAAGATAGGCCACTGTTGGCAAAGAATATTAAAATGTTTTTAACAACAGAGCGTCCGCTCAAAAGGTAGGCCACTGTTGCCAAGTCAGGACGGAAATGGGCCATCTATTACATAAAGAAAAAATAAGCAGCATTTAAACGATATCTTTTGAAGGTAATTTCCTATTCTCAAACAAAAATTGCATTTCCAACCTTCAGAAAGAAAGGTTTCAGATACATAAAACGTATGATACATCTTTTTCATTTTGGAAGGCATAAATGCAGAGACAACACACAACTATGAAGTGGATATTCAGGAACAGGAAGAATCATAATTCTAGACCATACTGAAATACTTCGCATTAAACATAACCAAAAAATACGCCACCTAGATTCCTTTTTGGTGCGGATGGCATACAAGATAAACTATATGAAGTTTCGCTTACCCACTGACATCTGTTGGGCTGTTTTCAGCCCGTAATAGATGCTCAACGCCACTAGAACCAATGATTGCAAATGCTGAAACATGTCCATAAGGAATGACAACCTACAAAAGGAAAAAGAAAAGATAACGAAATTAGCCAACCATCAAGGATAATGTATCATAAACATGCACGTAATAGAAAAAGCAATTTAGTAAGAGCTCCCTACAACACCTAGCAACAGAGTTGGTTAGCTTTCATTTACCAGAACAGCTCACTAGTATCTTTTACATTATAACTGGACTTCTCAATTTTATACCCTTCAACATCATCAGCTCCTGCCAAGCTGCAACCCAATTTAATTTCCACCTAGAACTAGCAGCCTTAAACTGAGGGATGTTGGCATGAGAGGATCAACCATTGTTGATTATTTGTTGGAAGTAGAAGAGCACGAATGACTATGCTTCATAGCATGACTATTAAGGTGGCATATTGGAGTAGTTGTCTTCTGAGGTTGCTGCTCTTTTTAGTTAGTTTCAAATTAAGGTAGTTAGAATACAAGTGCCTGATATGTTTCATAATAAATCGTCCTCCCCTTCTTCATATCAAGCAAAAGTTCTCTGATCAATAAGATTAACCCATGAAAATTTTCAGTTAGGTTACAATAAGTCTCAAGTTAAAACATATTATAACTAACACATATTTTGAAAATTCCATATAAATCATAAATTTCTCTTTAATAAATTTCCAACTATTTGGATCATCAAAATGAACAATTACTAATAGCCAACTACAAATTTGTATTTCACAGATGAATCAATAACTTAAATACCAGTTGACCAAAATGTTTTCACAAACTCAGTATATAGTAATAAGGAGACATACTCTGATAGATGAAGAGAATTTTTCTGCAGCTACAGCTCCACTTGGTCCACTGCATTTGATACTGTACCCTTCCCTCTTAATGGTCAGAGTAGCTGGTTCCCATATATCCAGATATCCAGTCTGTACAAGCAATCCAGAATTTTTTCAAAACAGTTTGAGCTTTTTCGTTAGAGAATAGTAAAATAATTTTTTTTGCATAGATAGACAAAGGAAACTTAAATAAGTAACTGCTATCATTGAATTACCGCAAGAGAAACTTTATATGACGCCAGTCCACTATAAAGGGTCGTCTCAATGCAGTTCTGCATTTCAGGGTCTGAAAAGAATATAATAGCTCAATAAATTATTAAGAAAGGCAATGTCACAGAACTGAAATCAAGATATGACATCCAAAGCAGATTAGCTGGTTTAGATTTTTCTTTTGGCTTCCTGTTGGTGCTTGTCCTTGTTAGATTGCTTCAAGGGAGTCTGTCAGATATCCTACAGATTACATGATTGGAAATTATTGATTGTGTTTTGGTTGTTACGATATTGTCTAATTCTCCTTTGTTGCCTTAAAGTTGCATTGTGCTAGTTCTTTTAATCATGAGATCCCTTCAGTATCTTCCAATTTTATCAGATATCCCCAAAGGGACCATGATATCCTTTCAGAGAGAATGAAATAAATGCACACAATTTCGGAAAAAAATTTCTCTATATCAATAAACATTTGCCTCTGAAAGCCAGGAAGTTCGTTGACTCATCATTCCCATTGTTCAACAACTTTGACAGCAAGACATGCCCTCCAAGAACAAGATCAATGCTAAGCACACACCACTTCACAAGCCCATTTATAACTTGCCAATGTAGAAAAGTAAACCTTTTATATACTAAAGATGTCAAAAACTTTAAGGGTAGTGCTCTACACCCAGATCTACCTCACATCTTGCACACTGAAGCAATTTGAATATATTTAGGGTAGTGCTAGACTTCAAGAAACACCAAATCACCGCAAAGTACTCACCACAAGTGATCTTTTTTGTATCATTAGCAAAAACCTTCACAGGTTCTCCCTACAATCACAAAGAATGCAGGCAATTTAGTTATTAAAATTTTTTTTAGAAAAAAAAGGGACAACCATAATTGAAATATCCAGAATCAATCAAATTAACTTGACAAAGTACTTATTTCCATATAGATTTTGTGGTAGATTCTAATCAATTTTATAGGCGGAACTATAAGATCAAACAACATTATGATCGAAGTCACAATCTTAAAAACCTATATTTCAATGTTAAGAAGATGATATATCATGCAGCTGTCAACATTCAGGTATCTTTTTCCATACAATACTGATAATATAATTGCCTCCATTAAGAAAACTACCTTGCGCTTTCTGTTGTCCAGAGGCTGAACTTCAATGGCAAGGTAGGTGTCAACATCGTCAGCAGTGACAAGATAGTTGGGTTGCTTTGCCCCTATATTTAGGACCCAAGATTAATGATTCAGGCATTAACGTTAGGAAGGAGCAAAAAAACATACTCTAGAACTAGAAAATACCATCAATATAATTAACAGATCCATCTTCCATATGCCTTATCCACTGACAATCCAACAAGAAAAGGCCAAGTAAGCACAACAGTTATAGAACATGAAAATGCATTAGGTAATAAAAGGAAACAAGCTTCAAATTGGAGAGGGATAAAATGCACCTCAAAGTTACAACTAGTGGTGCCATTGATAGAAAATCCGCATGCCTGAAGTTCCCTTCCTGGAAAGGCTTCTCCTGAAATTTGAAGACCATCTATAGCTGGTAGCGGATCATCATCTGCAGCTGCATAATGCATTTGTTCAATGTGATATAGACAACATTAGTTCTTTAACAAGTAATTAAAATTAAAAAAAAAATCACTTCTTACCCTCAGAAAATGACGAGGAAGGTTCTTCAAGGACTGGTGGTAGATGATAAGGAGAATAAGAGGAACTGGGATTGTCAGCAGCAGCTGTATAAGGAGAGTTGCCTGAACTCCAGTTAGCAGAAGTTTCTCTCTCATTCTGATTTCCACCCCCATCAGTATCATCCACTTCACTATTACTCACAGGATCACGAAATGTAACCTGTTTGTTAGTTGTTTCCTCTCCATAATGTGTAGGATGAGCACCACCTTGAGTAACTCCAAGCTGGGTAGGAGCATCATGGCTAGATGTCCTGTCAAATAGCCAATACAATTGTACACAAATGTGCTTCTTTACAAATGTGCTTCTTTACAATCAACTCAAGACATTTATACAACAACAACAAAGCCTTATCCTGTTAGGTGGAGTCGGCTATACAAATCGCACGACATCATTGAACTCTATCAAAGACCAAATCTTTGGATATATTGTAAATTGAAAATCAAGACATTTATAAACCAAAAAAATGTATATATTCTTTAATCATAAATCATTACAGGTTAGAATTTTACAAAACTAAAAATGTTCATCAGACCACACCCTTAATATAGCAAATGGCTTTAACTGAAGGAACCAATAGAGGAGCAGCTCAACAGAAAGAACAAGAGAGAAACTCATGGAACTCAGTCCCAAATAGTATTCAAATTAGCTACAATCAGGCAGAGCGCAAGTCCACCCCGAAAATAACAAAGAAAATAGCAGAAAAGGCACACCAACTCAAGCAATGTGAGAGTACTAGGCGCTCCAAATAGATACAATTACCTGAGCCTACTCTCTAAACAACTACCCCCCACACACACGCATATATATATATTCCTCACCACTAGCCTGCTACAACTTTCTATCTCTCTCTCACACACACACCCTCACAACCTTCAAATAACTAAGACTAGGCCCATTGCTATCAAGCCCATCAGAAACCACATCAATTATTCTTGTATCTCAGAATTAATAAATGTCAAAAACCACAAAACAGCAAGGGTGTTTCAAATAGTCAAGATTGTAAGACAGAAACCAAAACAAAGTATTGAATGCAGTTTTATTTTACATACAAACCTTAATAACAGCCTGCAAAAAACCACCAAAAGGTACCACGAAATACGGCCAAGCTATTTCAATACTTGTTTAGTACCTCATCATATCTTACATGCATAAAAAAATTGCATTCTATAGGCCCAAAAAAAACTTCCTGAGAACCGACTGCTTTAGCAAATCAGCATCACAGAAGCAAAAGCGATGGAGATGCCAACAGACTATCTCCAAAAATGATAACTCTTTAAGTATTCATAAGGAAATGAGATGCTAAAATCTACATGGAACACGTTTTCAATGAAAACTGAAGTTCTAAATTGAATACAAACTCACCAGGAAATGAGACAATTAAAAAATGTTAATCTTAAGTGTTATATTACACAGAACATGGTGGAGACAATAATTTCCATATTTACTTCATAGATTCTCCCATCTGTTTTGGATAGAACCAAACATGGTCTCAAATAAATTTAACATGTAAGGCTTATCCACATGTCAAATGATCAGGACCACTTTAACAGAGACTCCATGAAAATAGAACCCACCAATACATTCAGTTCAGAGTAGCAGTCTCCATTTGACCAGGCTCACCTGCTAGCAAGAGGTGAATATCTCCCTAATACATCAGCATCCATATTCTTCGCCATGCCACCCAAGCCACTCTGATGGCGACCCAATATATCCCAATCAGCTCCAGTCTGACCATCAACAGAGACCGGAGGCGTCACTTGGGAATACATGGGCTGCGGAACCAGTTCAAGTCCATCTTTATTCTAACAAAAAAATGCAACAACTTAGAATTTTATAATAGCTAACTGCATAATAAGAGAAAGCGACAAATTGACAAAATGAGCATACTGAAGTTGCCAATGCTGCACCAACCGAATGAGATGGGGACTGTGAAGCAAAATTTGATTGGCTCATATCAGAACGCAAAGGCACTAGTTGATATTGTGACTCTTTTAGCTTTGACTGTAATGAAGAATTGACATGGTTAATAAAACCATTATGCTGGCAAAAAAGGGAAATGCCACAAATCTCAGGATTTTTACAAGATCATAGTTCTTGTAATCTTTAGTATCATTTCTAACAAATCAACCAAAAGTCCAATCTATTATCCTAATATTGCCCACAGGAATTCAAATCATACCGAGTGTCTGCCAAACATACCTCAGTGAGAAGAAGTTTTTCCTGTAAATGTTTAAACAGAACCTGCCAAGAAGAAGAATTTATTATAAAACCATGCACATGAGTTTAAATTTCGGAACTAAATATATAAAAAGACAATCATGCGCACATATATCCCACAATCCAACAGATTAAAATTTAAAAGATAACAAAATCAACAACTTGAGAAAAGAAGGGCACTCAATTTGGTAGAATTTTTTTAGATTCTACTACAAAGAACATAAGAGCCAACAAATTTCTAATGCAATTTTTAGTTAACGCCAACAAGATCTCCAAACTTTAAAAAAATAAAATATTCTTTTAGTCCCTATACCTGGTCCCCATAATTTTAAATCAAATCTCAATTCTTAACTAAGCGAAATCAGAAAATTCAAAGAATGTACTTATGGACAATGGACCACGGGCAAGACTTACAAACCCTAAAAGTATTCATTGGTGTCAGGAATACGAGTCAACCTTTTTGTACCAATGGTCAAGTAAAGTCCTAATAACATAACACAAAATTATGTGAGATTAATGCCCTAATGTTAATTTCAAACCCTGTCCATGCTGCTTTACCAATACCCTACTCCCGATGTTTAAATCAAAAGAAAGGTGTGTAAACAACAAAGATAAAAGATTTGCCTTGAACAATGACATGCCATTGAATATCAATTATGAGTATCCCTTTAAAGACAATGAAATCAGAATCCAGAAGAAAAAGCATATATTCAAATAATCCTGCAGTATTCTCCCTCAATCCCATATATTCTCTTCTATTGTAAGAATAAGTAGTTCTTAAGAGACATTTAAAGCTATGAGAAAAAAGAACTATATTTCAAAATTCCAATCCTATAACCACATTTATTGTCTTTGACAAATCCACAAATGGAAGGAGGACACATGAAAATGTTGAAATAAGTAGACGTGAAGAACATTTTATACAAGTGACAACTCAAATACCTATAAACAAGATAGAAGCAATATTTCAAATAAAGGGAAGCAGAACAAGGTTGACCTTGACATTGCTAACAATTGATTGGGCATCAGGAACAGGGGGCTGAAGGGAGTATTCAGCCAGAAGAGGCAGCAAGGACGAAACAAATGTTGATCTTTCTTGATGTGCATCCTGACAGAAGAAAAGAGAACTAAAAAATTGTTCCAAGTTTCCAACTGTTCATAAAGAGCCAACAGAAGGTGACACCAAACTGAAATGCAATAAAAAAAAATAACACATATTGTTCAACCAAACTATCGCATGCACAATTTAACATGCACCAATAATATGAAGATATGTAGGGGGGAAAAACACCTGCAGCGCATATGTAAGACGAATATTTTCTTCAATTATGTCCTGTCTGTATGATAAAGCTTTTGATGCCGCATCTACTAGATCTTGTTGCTGCTGATCAAAGGCCTAGTGGCATGATTAAGAAAATTAACAGCACAATTCAAATTAAAACTCAGGAAGAGGAAGGAAATCAATAATTCTTATGAGATTAAATATGGACATCAAATAATATCATCCTTACCAGGCGCATATATGCAATGCGCTTTTCCAAAACATACTTTTCATTGCGTATCTGTGCTTCCTATCATAAAAATAACGATTAATCACTGACGAGATGATATGGACAGAAAACAATATTTATTATCACAAGCTTTAAGAATATGTATATCCTTTACCTTTATGGAATAGTCTGCAAGATGTTTCCTTAATTGCATGATCTCTTCTTCATGTTCACGAATCTTTATGGCAATATCCTAAATAGATATAAACATACGCCATAAATATCATTCTCAGATAAAAGATGAGACTTTTAGAGCTATGACAGTACCTGCTTCCATAGGGTATTAGGATTATTCATTTCAGCCATTGGCATCAACCCTTGTCCAGAAGAATTAATTCGTGAATCATAGTCCCCTTCTATTTTATGCCTACAGAAAAAACACAGTTTTCTACAGATATAAGTTCTTCTTTGATAATACCTGGGCAGAATGAAGACATGAGGATATGAACAGAAAAATACCTACTCGGAGAGATTGACCTTGCAGATAACGGAGACGACAGAGAGGGGCCATTATTATCAGCATATAGCTGTTCATTTGGGTGGACTCTGAATGTCCCATTTGATTTACTGTTTTCATAATGAATTTCTGCATTGCCTCTGGCTGCATCATCTTAATGTTTTAGATACTGGACGACTAGGATACAAGTTACATCAACTAGGCAAGACATAGCCATACCCTTAAGTAGATCTTGATTTCCTAATGGCACAAATGACTGACGAGCTTCATAAGATCCTGGACTCTGCTCATCCCATGGGGCAACAGATCGAGGTCCTCGATCCGTTGACTCATCTTGCTTCTGTCAAAAACAGAAGACATGCACGGCTGAGATTGTTGTTTCCTTTTTATTGACACTCTCAAGGAGAAATTTCCTTTATGATTAATAAAAGGGAAAGTCTGTAGAATAGAAGGGAAGTACAAAGGCATATGAAGGGTCCTCTTAAGGAAAATTTTAATTCATTGTTATGCAGGATATTTTTCTTTTCTCCTTTGTCTTCTTTTAACAAAACCGAAAGGAAAAAAAGTGGGGGGTGCGGAGATTGGCCCCACGTAATCATCATAAGGATAAACTGTTCAGCCAAATCAGACAAAATTTCAAAAAGAGATCCCAGAAGCAGAAGTGTTTACTTTGCATAAAAAGCACAAAATTTATTGACTCCATCTGCTTAAATATGGCACATGCTCCAAAGGGGTCGACTGGTATGTAGAATGGAATGATGGAAAATGAAACAGAAGGGCAAAAAGTGAATTTCTGGACAAAAATATTTGTTTTGCCCCTTGCTTTAGGAAATCAATAAAAGATCATTACTATTGAGTAATAATAATAGAGATACAATAAATATAACATTTTTTTTTTTTAAGAAAGAAAACAGGGAACATTTTTCTTACACAGAGCTCTAAAAACCCACCCAGTAACACCTAGCTGTCAGGCTACGCATTAAACATAGGAAAACCCATAAAACTCTGCCCAATAACACATACACTGTTAAGCTTTCAGAATTCAGCCAAACCTTCTCTCTTAAAAACTTTTCATCATTCTAAACTTCAATTAAATAATGTTTCGATTGTTCTAACATTTATGTTCATCTATTGTTCCTTTATAAAGCATATTTTCAGCTCTCTCTCTTTCCCCCCCCCCCTATTTAGGAGCCTAAATTCACTCGAGCTAGCACTTGCCCGCCCTTCTTGCCTAAAGGCAATAGTGGGGTTCTGGCACCTTATGGATTCCTATCAGAATACAAGTACACAAACAGAGAGGATAAACCCATTGGCACGTTGAATAAGTATGAAATCTTTCGCTTCTATAATCCAGAATGTATATCCTAAATGTAAAATCCTTGCTCTACATGGAGCTCCCGTAAAAAGATGTTAAAATGGTTTGAGACCATCATATTGGGCTCATAAAATGAGAGCCGTTGTATAAAGAGAGCTCAACCCTGTCCGACCCACCAAAGAGGTGGACAAACAACACTGCATTAGCCGAACCAATATGCCGAAACTTTCTCACAAAAGATTTCCCCAAGAAGAAAGGTAATTGATTAGAGTGAGTCAGTCTATCACCCCTGTCAATAAATAAGATATTTCAAAATGTTTGACAGTTTCTATCTTTGTCTAAGATATTTCACATATTTAGCAAATAATTAAATTAAAAATAGTTTAATAATTGCTACATACATCTGTTTTATTATTTTTACCAGCGAGTGCACCTAACGCACAGCACTCTCTGAAATCACTTGGGAATCTGGGATGGCATGGAGCTAGCCCAACCTGCTGAATTTTTAGATTTACTTCATGGACTAGGCCAAGCTTGCTCATTTTGAATACAGTTTTCATTCAACTAGAAAAGGAATAAAGGGTACACAATCTAAAGTTTTCCAAGAAAACTGAAAACAGCCAACCATCACTTGTAAAAATTTTAGCCAAACCGTACATAACTGATACGCAAGTAATCTAGAGCAACACTTACATATTTTTCAAGTTCCTGCATTTTTCTTTGAAGCTCAGACTTAAGCCGGTTATTCTCTTCCACCTGCCAAAAGCAACGTGTTGCAGCCTCAGTATTTACTCCAAAAGGACTTGACCATTAGATAGCACCGTTTATGGCACAAAGTAAACCGTTTTTGCATAAGCGTGCAAGTTTGGCTCCATTTCGTTGGGCAGAGAATATCTTTCCATTAAATAAAATGCACGATATGCAATGTTATTTATAATTGTTATCACTGCTCAATCATAAACATGAAATTTTCAATATTTTTTATCCAGTGACACAAAAGAAGAAAACATTTCTCATCCACAAAAACACACTTATATTTCAATTTTCTTTCCATTCACTACCATTATACACACCAAAGGAGACCTCTTCCAATGAAATGGGAATTATTTCACAGGTGGATAAGAGTTAAAAAGACATAGTACCCAAATAATAAAGATGACAGCATCCAGTCTCATTGCACCGTAGAAAATCATTTCACGTAACTTGAAAAACAAGAGTGAATGAGCGAAGGGAGCAATGAGGACTCGAAGCCCCTGGGTGAAAACAGTCATCAAAGAAAAAGTGGGAAAGAAAAAGAAGAGGATGGACTACCAAGGCTATTTATCATACACAACCCGCTATCTACATAAAATACTCCAAACGCTTTGATCTCCGGCAAAAGCTCTCCAGCGTCTATTGAACAAAAGTTCAATGAAAAGTAAGTCCCCCACCCACGTATCCTCTAAAAATCCATTTCCATGCTACTTTTAGCAGGACTGCCAGCATTACCGAGCCAACCAACTCCAATAATGCAAGACATGATTAAATACGTGCACATCAATTATGAAACTAAAAATCAAAGGTTTATAAGCAAGCATCCTCAGCAAATTGTAAAGCCTTTTTATGTTCAAATAATGACGAACAAGATCAAAAATCTTAAATAGAACATATGTTGAAATGGAAGTACCTGCTGCTTAATGGTGGCCTCCGCCGCTTCAACGGCCTTCATGACTTGATACAAGCTGTCGTTGTTGCTAGAAGTGGGGCTAATCTGATCCCGCGGTTGATCATGTTGCTGAATATGCTGATTAACACCCAGGCCTGAGAATTTCTCGGCCAACTTCGCATCATAACCATTTTCCATACCCTTCTCCTAAAAGCCTCCAGCAGTAACCCGCCAGTAGCTCACGCAAATTGATCAGCCACAACTCTTTCAGCCCAAATAAATACCACTTCTGGGTCTACGAATGCCCATTCATCATCTTTCACTCACTATAATACTCACCACTACTTGACCGAATCCTGTTACTATCCTTCTCACACTTGCATCAGTCAAACGCAAACCGGAGCTAAAGCAATCAATCGGAGATTGGGAAAAATATAAGAGAGCTGATAATTCAACCAAAAACGAAAACAAAATGGAACTGGGATTTCCAGGAGAGGAATCGATATATTAAGGCCCCTTTTGGTTCGCATGAAAGGGGTTAGAACGTTGCAGAGTCGACCCTCTTCCAGGTCCCGACAGCAGATCTTGGTTCTGTGCGCGGAATACGTTGTGTAAGATCTTTCCCTGTTGTGCGAGGTTTCCGAAGAAGCTCCACCGGAGACGATGCAAATGACGACGTTCTGGTCGTGTGCCGTGTTAGTCGCCGAGCTTGGTTTTTTATCTGTATATTAACTTTTTAAATCAGCGTCATTTTTGTCTTTTTAATAATCCACGCCTTTCTTTCCGCCAAAATTAAGAGATGCAAACCAAAATAATTGGAAGGTGGAAAAATAATGAAGAAATGGGAACAATCGAAAGCTAACCTGCAATATGAGGACAAAAGCTTGCAAATAAAAGGGATGAATTAATAATAATATTGGTAATGATAATTACTCATGTGATCCAAACGTAATACCCATTTTTTAATATAATTTTATACTAAAAAATATGTCTTAAATTTAGTATCGGACAAGTGTTATTTTTTTAAACTCCTTGCACTTCCCTCTATTTTTTGAAAAGATGCATTAGAATCCAAATTATCAACTCCTATAAAAATATTTAACACGATATACTTTAGTTAAATTTTATAGTAGAATAAATTTTATTTTCTAATTTATCCTTCACCATACAGGATCCTTAATTTTGTCGAAAAAAATTGAAAAAAAAACTTAGAGTTTTATTTTTCATTTTCTTAATTTTATTTACTCTTTTTGCAAATAGTTATTTAGTTTGTTTAATTTTATTACATTTGAATAAAAATGTAAGTAATTTAGTTACCTTCGACATAAAAAATTTGATTAGGAATGTGGTTAATTCTTTAAATGGATATATAGGTAACTATATATATTTATAAATGTTTGTAAAAAATATGTTTAAAATTTAAAAATAATTTATATAATTTGTTAAACTGACATCATTCATATTCATACTATATTATGAATAAAAGGATGAGTGTGAAATATTTCTGAGCTATTTAGAAAACGTAAATAAATAAGTTTTAATAAACGTAATAAAAGACTAAAACTAAAATTATAAGATTTCATAATATAGTTAAAATTAATAAATGTATAACATATTAGAAAGTTTGAAAGTACTCCTCCTCCGGTCCTAAATATAAAAACTATTTTATAGTACAAATTGTACTATAAAATTAGTTTTATATTTGGGGTTGGAAAAATATGTGTCAGAATTTTTTTGTTGTATAAATTTTTTTTTGCAAATATAAATGTCTGAATACTTTTTATATTAAATGGACATGGATAGAGCATAGAGATAGAATCCCAAGTAATGTGTGTGTGTGTGGAAACTTGTATGAGATGTATTTTTAATTTTGAAGAAGGATTATATAAGTTTTTGGAATAGATGGAAGGATTCTATAATTTTGATAAAAAAATAAAAGAATTATTAATATATTTTATTTTAATAATAATAATGAAGATGGATGAGGCAACAATGCCTCCGTGGCTTGTATTATATATTCAGATATAGATGGTGTTTGGATAGAAACCAAACCATGGTTTCAAAAGTGTTTTTACGGATTACGAAGTAAATATGTGGAGGAGGTTACTTCGTTTTGCGGAAAAGTGATTCTGAAACTTAGGTTTTGGTTTTGCCAAACACCCCCATAGTCAAGTGTGCGCGCGTTGAAGGAATCATGGAATCAAGTTAAATTTCAAAACAACGTGTGTTTGAAAAAAAAATTAAAATAACCATTGAATTTCAAAATTTCAAATTAAGAATTACTATAAAAATATACTACCTCCGGTCCTTAATATAAGACCCTGTTTGACTTTTATTTTGGTCCTAAATATAAGACCCCTATCTACTTTATCTCTCATATTTATGCATTTTTTTCAAAATAGTCCTTCTAATAATTATAATTCTAGCCAATATAGTTGATTAGTAAGGATATTTTAGGAAAGACAACACTTATTTATTACAAATAACTAACTTAATTTCTTTTCTTAATCTCCTCAAATTAGTCAACTGGATCTTATAATTAGGACCGGAGGTAGTATTATCTTTTGCTTTTTAAGTGAAGTCATTTTCATTACAAATACAGTGACTTATATTGATTTGAAATTTTGAAATTCAATAATAATTTTTTAGGATTTTTTTTGCCAGCAAAACCAATATTTTATCTTAGTTCTCACGCTTAACCTCTAAATATCAATCAATTAATCTTTGGTGAAAATTAAATCATAATGTTATAAAGTAAGTATGTGAGAGTAGTTTTGTCATAGAAACACTTTTTTAAAATGATTTCACTATTTACAAGTTTTAATTTTTTGACCAGAACTATTTACAAGTTTTATGACTGACTAGTTTTTTAGATTTTTTGTGGTAAACATAAAAACTCTGTATTCTTTTGTTTCAATTATAATTCCATTTCTGTTTCCATTCTATTCTTCCAGTAAGTCAGCTTTTGTGAAAAGAATGGGGGGAATTATATTGATCACTTATCATGGAGTGAAGTACAATCCACGTCTCCAATTGGCCAAAAAAAAAAATCTATTGTCGAGCTTTATATTTTTCCCCATTTGCATATTCCTTGGCTTGGCCGCTCAGATCCATTGTCTTTATATTATTTAGGGGTGTTTAGCAACATTGAAAAATCCTTTTCAAGAGTATTTTTCTGTAAAACGAAACAAATTTCTCCACATATTTACTTTATAAACCGTAAAAACATTTTTGAAACTATGGTTTGATTTTTATCTAAACACTCATTTATTTCCTTTCAATGATTAAAATCAATGTGTTTTAAAACCTAGTTAAGAATGCCTCAAGTTGTTTGGCATGATTATTTGATCCGGTGGTATTCAGGTATTGTCAGATTCTTTTTTTTTTTTTTTACCAGTTGCCAGCTTCAATTGACGTGGGTCTTTTAAATATACCTTTTATATTCACACGAACTCAAATTCAACATTTTATACTTAACCATCGTATCCCATGTAATATTAGTTTTATAAGGTGATTAGATCTATTTTAAAAAATAATAAATATGAAAGACAAAATAGATCATTAAATGTCTTGTATTTAACAAATACATACATTTCAAGTTAAACTCAATACACTGATATTTAGCAATAAAAAAACGCTAGCATAATCATTAATTTTTCCGTGTGTATTCTTTTAATTACATAAAGAATGCTTGAAATTGAATAATGCTGACGCCACGATTAAGTTTGATAACATGAATGACTTTTTAAGTATAGCTAATAAGAAAATATTTTCATATATTGCAGTAAACAGTTTAAAAAATTATTTGCATGGTAGCATGCTACTCAGATAATACATGGAATTGTTATAAATGTTACTACTTCAATTCTAAATATAAGATATCTTTTGTAATATAATTTATATTATAAAATAAGTCTTATATTTAGAATCGTAGAAATACCATATGCAGATAATCATAGGCCTTCAATGTTTGGCATTGGTGACTATAATTGTGAGTTTTCCAAGAGACTCGGAGATGCGCGTTAAGCCTATGTTAATGAATCCAAGCCACTAAAATGAAGACTTCTCATAGATTTTTTTTTTCTTTTTGTTGTTGTTAGTATCTTTTTGTCTTTTGATAAGAGTAATTTTTTTTCCCAACAGTAATTTTTAGGTTAATGCACCATATTTTTTAAGGCACTATTCAGTGATGAAAGGCATATAAACATTGTTAGCGGCAAGGTGTGTCGGTAATAACATCGTCTCATCAAGCTTTAATGAGATATTACTCCATCCCTTATTATAAGATCCTTTTAACTAAATTGCGTGATTCCTTAAACAGTTAAAACTAGTTAAAAGTAATTAATGTATAGCAAATGTAATTGTTTTTCCAAATATACCATTTTATATAAATGGGTAAATTTGAAAGAGTAATAGCAGATAAATGAAGAAAAAGAATGTATTAAATACATTAAATTAAGGGCAAAATTGGTAATAATACATTAAATGTTCAGACAAATTCAAAAGAGGTCTTATAAAAAAATACAAATCTATTAAAAAATGAATCTTATAATAAGAGACGGATGGAGTATTAAGTTAGAGTTTGACATTAATGTTTGTCTGCGCAAAAAAAAAAAAAAAGGCACTTACTCTTTTGTGTTGTCGCTTCATTTAGTGCCTTTTTTTATTTGGCAGCGGACGCCCAAACTGGTCCATTTGAGACCGAGACAGATGTTATGAAGCTCATTTCTAAAGTTTGAGTAGTTTTTCTGCAACTTCAATCAATAATTATTGGGAGAATTAGTGGGAGACCGTAAAAAAGAAAGGTAGTTACTCAAAAACCTGGATAAAAGGTAACTGAGTGAGTTGTTGAAACTTATTGTTATTTTTTTATCCTCAAACTTGTCAATACATGTTATTAGGTTATTGTAATACTTTTTGGTAATTATTTTCTTTTATTGGATCTTAGAGTAATTCTCCCGTAATAATTTAATAGAAGGGTTAGCCCCCCGTAATATAGTAAATCAAAGTTTAGATCCCTACCAAAAAAGATACTTACATTTAGTACTTAATAATAAAATTTTGACAGTAGGAGAGTGATCTTGCATTGAAAAAATTTCCCTATGGAATGTTTGTTATTGATGCATTTTAATGAATTTCTAGAAGTCTTGCCTTTAAACTATATACATTGCACTCAAGATGTCAAGGTTAACCACTTCACTTGACGTGTGAAGCTCACTTCAAATTTTTACAACGTTTTTGGAAAAATGTTGACATGTTAATTTTGCTACTTAGGGCCTATTTGGGGGTGTTTGGGAAACTGTAAAATTATCTCAAAAACACTATTTGGCAAAACAAAGTAAGCTCTTTCATATATTTACTTTGTATATTATAAAATCATTTTTAAAACTATGGGTTCATTTCCATCCAAACATCCCTTTTGGCAAACATCCGAAACCATAGTTTTAAAAATTTGTCAAACAAGGGGAAAAATAAACAAATCATGGTTCTGAGCTCAAAACCATGTTTTCAGAAGAAGTGAATATATTATGCTTCCCAGTCAAATTGGAGAGTACGATTGTGCCTGTCAGAGTATCTCCTAACCGTAATATGACTTTAACACCCCTCAGTTATTTTTCCATAAACATATTTAATCTTATATTTTATCAATATATATACACATATTAATTATTAATTATATTATCTTATATATTATTAATTATGTTGGTAAAAAATATATTATTAACAGTTTTATTCTTTCAAATTAAAATATATTATAAAATCTATTTTTTATATAATTATCATATTAACTCGTGCTCTTTTTAGTAATTTGCACATATAAAAAGTGCTTCTGATAACAATTATCCAAATACTTTCATTTTATCAGAATTACTTTTTCACAAAATTTTTTCTTCACAAAATCTATTCTGTAGAAGCTGTTTTCCAAATTATGATTTGATTTCATCCAAACACCACCTTAATGCGTTAACAAACTCAAATTTTAAAGGGGTGCTCTAATATATTCTCACTTAACATGCAGACGTAATACAAGTCTCGGCGTGTTTATCTCTTTCATCTTTTTGAAGTGTCCTGTCAAAATTCATTTTCTTTATCTATTGCTCAGGTTTCATTATTTCAGTGTTCTATTTTTTTGTTTGGGTTGGCAAAAGTTTTTTAAAAAATATCCAATTTACTACTGGAGACATAGCGTGGGTGTCAAAAAGAACAAGTCCTATATTACTCAAAAGTGTGGAAGTACAAGTCCATTTAATACTAGCTTGTGTTCTTAGGCTAATGAATGGGCCTAGAAGAGAAGGAGAATCTCGTGCATATGACTATGAGCCACCAAAGGCAAATGCCACAACAGATTTTGTTTTAAACTAATATTAACAAGCCTTAATCCCCTTATGCATCTCACACTTGAGTTTTTGTGCATGCTCCCATGCCTTAATTACCCTTATGCATCTCGCACTTGAGCTTTCATGCATACCTACTCCTTTTTATAAAATTTCTTCTACCTAGCTGAGTTTTTTTAATCTTCTGTTGTTCTATTTGCCCTGTTCTTATAGGAAGAGTCCATTTAATTATAGGGAGTACCACTTTCTTGTCTGCCGGTGGTTACGAAATAGCTCTTAAAAATAACATTCATGGTGGTTGTGAAATAGTTCTTAAAGATAACATTCATAGAACGTGACTCGGATTGATCGTCTTTTTGCAAGTGCTACTGCCACCATCTACTCCCTTTTGAGTGCCAACCTTTATTTGAGAAAAACTTTTTCATGCTTCCAACGTTCTTATACAAGCGTAGCATGTGAAAAAGGCTTTAAGAGATATTTTGAGTTGATTTTAAATTTTGTGTGCATTTGATATTCTTTTTCTGGTCTCAGATTAGCATGGTTAAAAAGAATGGACACATAGTTTGTGGCTATGTATAACAGCAATAGGGCAAATTGAGTTCGAACCCTACCCTGTTAAAAAAGCCTTTAGACAGCGGCATGAAAAGACACCAAGCGCCCAGAAGAGTTTTTTTTTTTTTTTGGAGCTGAAGCGCCCAGGAGGGTTAAAACAGAAATTTACCTGTGGTTTATGTCCCCGTGTTGTTATTCTTTTCTGGAAAAGAGAAGGCAAGGTTATAAAGGTTAAATTGCAACTTTAAATAATATTTGTTTATTTGAAAAATGAAAATCTAAGAAACAAAAGAAGCCGGCAAAGTGTTCGAGGGTTTTCTCGCGCATTTTGGCGGAACAGAAGCCTCTTTGCTGCTCAACTGGAGGCATTTCGCTTTTACATTCTCTGATCAGCCCTAGCTCGCCCTCCTGCCTCTGGGATCTCAACCACCCTACTCCGGTCACCGCGCCACCGTCCATTCTCTGACCAGCATCAGGTAACTGCCATTTCCATTTTAACCCGTGCGTTAAAGGTTTTGGTCGCTCGCTGCACTTCCCCGTCCCACGGCGCTGCTCGCAGCGGCCTCCCCCGCTCCCTTCCATCTTCATTCGAGCCTTGGAGGGAAGAGGGGCGTTTGGGTTTTGAAGTCATGCCTGTTTAGCGCTTTTCTGGATCATGCTCGGCTAATGACTGAGTTTACTCCAGTTGATAACTGGGTTCTCTGTTTATGGAAATATTTGAGTTCTAACCACTTGCTAATCTTTTTAGTTGGTGAGCAGCGTGCACCTCAAGTCACCAAGGAGCTTCTTTAGTGCTTCAGGGTTTAGTTTTGCGTCGGCGAGTTGCCAGCAGTATCTCATATCTGAGAAATCATGCACGCCCCGGTTCTAGTGCTCAGTGAGTTATTGCTTTCTCTGTATATCGTGGATTGATGAGGATATTGACCGTCAAGTGCCATCGATTGATCTATTCAAAATTTGTTTCATGTTGTTTGGATTGTTATTGGAAGCAATGCACCAATGCCATCACTTGTTGTGTATTCAATTTTGTTCGATCGTTTATTACTCTATTTTGCTCATCTAGTAACTCTTGAAAATGGACAGAGGACTCTTTGAAACGGGAGTCTGGAAGCAAGGTGCAACATGCTAATATTCAGGCATCGAAGGTAACAATTTCTTATCACTTCCAGATTTGGGTTTTCCTGTGCTCTACTGCCCCCACTATTGGCAGTCTTACTTTGTAATGGTACTCTTTGAAGGCTGAAGTCTTGTTGGTTGGAAAATATGTTTGATATTTTTGTTACATTAGGGTATAAAGGTCATGTAATGAAAAAGATTTCTAGAGTTTTAGTTGATAATTTTTTATAGGTTCTGGACATTCTTCAATGATTGATGTGAACTTTACATGTTAGTTAAGTGTGATTTCAAAGTTTGTACATGGTTTTATTTCCTTGCTTCTTTTCATGGACATTCTTTGCCTTTGTTATGGTATTTCCGGATAGTGTAATACTTGATCTTCCAATGATAAATAATTTATATTTGCTTGAAAATTTTGAATTGTCAACAGATTTGGCCTCTATCATGTAGTTTATTCCGGCCTACACTCTCTGGTCATTGTAATTTAATGCTGTGAATGTATTTATAATTCTTTCCAGGCTGTTGCTGACATAATTCGTACAACCTTGGGACCCAGGTCCATGTTAAAAATGCTACTTGATGCCAGTGGAGGTTAGGGTTTTTATTTTTTTATCACGTTGGAATTTACGGGTAATTGAGAACTTGTGTGTATTGCATCTCTTCTTAGGGCAGCATGATTTATGCCTTCAATGCTTGAGAAAGTGGTACCTTTGTCGGTTATAGTATACTGAAGTAATTCGTAATTAACCGAGCACTTTCTTGACTTATTTAGTGTTTTTAGCCCTATGTTGGAGCTCTATAAACTTTAATTGCCTTTCCGTAGTTTAGGTTATGTTGGAAGCTGCATTTTAAGACTGTCTTACCAGTGTAGTTTGTGCTTTAAACTAATCCAACGGAACTGAGGTCTGCCATTTCTTCTTCGTCTACTTTTTTTTTTTTAATTTACAGGAATTGTGGTGACAAATGATGGAAATGCTATCTTGCGTGAATTAGATCTTGCTCACCCAGCTGCTAAGGCATGATTTATATCTCTTGCTTCACTTTGTTGATATTTGCACTCATGGTTTGAAACTTTCTGATATTGTTTTTTTGTTGGAATTGCTTAGTCTATGATTGAGTTAAGTCGCACCCAAGATGAAGAAGTAGGAGATGGAACAACATCTGTCATCATTCTTGGTATGTTTTAACTGTGTTTAGTTTAATCTTTTTATGAATTATCATCTAGACTATACCTCTTGTGGACCTATTCAGTATTATTCATTGTTCTTTTATCATTTTAATGAAATTGCTTTTATAGCTGGCGAGATGCTCCATGTCGCTGAAGCATTCATTGACAAAAATTATCATCCTACAGTCATTTGCCGAGGTAAGCAGTGTTCATTAGTGGTTCTTTTGCGGAAGTCTCTGAGATCGTATTTGACAAGTGATGACTTACATAATTATGTAATGGACAGCTTATAACAGAGCTCTCGAGGATGCTATTGCTGTGCTTGACAAAATTGCCATGCCCATTGATACCAAGGATCGTAAGTTTAATTGCTATTTTTATCATAAGATTGTTTCTTCCTCATATTGGTTTTGTATAGTTTGTATTTTGTCAAGCTTTTTCAATCCTAAACTCCCTGTCTTGTGGTAGCCAAAGTGATGCATGAGTAAGATGCTTAAGTAGTGCTGAACTCAGATGGATTTTATTTTAGGACCCATTGTATTGAAACTTGAATTGGTTCAACTCAAATCCTAGTGCAACTTGTACTAATTTGGCCATAAACCGGCAAGGATATGGAGTGAAAATTACAGTTGAGTTACTTCTTGTTGGTTATGATCATAGGTGTGGTCTGTTCATGACTCCCTGCAACTTGAAGTCTAAATCAGTAAATCTAGATGAATCTTTACAGTATAACTCGCTGCTGTGAATCAATGGCATGTAATTGTCAGTGTTGTGCTCCTGCCCCTTTCCACTAGAGGAAGTTGCTTTATAGAGCCTGTCACACTTTTGAATTTTGTTTATGTTTGTAGCCTGTTTATCCTTGTGTGTTTAATACGTAAGGATTTATGTGCATTTTCTTGCTTTAAAATAAAAGTACTTTGATTTCATCCGTGAGATACCTCTTTTTTGTGGAAATTTTTTTTCACTGCCTTGAAGTTTACATGCTATTGATGAATCATGCTGCAGGAGGTACAGTGCTTGGCCTAGTGAAGAGCTGCATAGGTACCAAATTCACTAGTCAATTTGGAGATTTAATTGCTGTGAGTAACATGTCTCCTTGGGCTAGATTTTCAAGCTGGTTTTTGCTCTTTCATCTTCTTTTGGTCAAGAAAGTTGTTCTTTTTTGCCTTTCTTTTTCCTTTTCTTTTAAGTTCTGACACGTGGATCTTGTATAAACCTTTGATTAAAGAGGCACAATTCTTAAGAGTTGCGGTGGGTCATATGGTCAACTGTTTCCCCCTTTCCCTTCTCTTAATGAATTTGACTTGCTTGTTTCTGGTTTATATTGTGATTTTAGCATGTAATAAGTCAATAAGGTTTTACATCTATATCATCTGTAACTTTTGGTGCTATGATTTTACCTCCATATTTCTGGAGCTGGTAAAGCTTCAGAGCTTTGCATCTATAGATGCAATTTTTTCCCACCTAAATTGCTGACGCATGTGCATCTAGCAAATAGTTCTGCCAAGTGATCATTGTTTAGCAGATTTTCTTGTTCTTCATCAGTTTTGTTGTTTCTATTCAAGTAAATGAGATAAAAACCTATGTGCTATCATGAGTGCAAATAACTGCTAGGAGTCTGCAAAATCATGGAATTTGCCTTATATTTGGGGAAAATTGCAGGATTTAGCCATTGATGCTACCACAACAGTAGGTGTTGATCTTGGCCAAGGTTTGAGAGATGTGGATATAAAAAATTATATTAAAGTTGAAAAGGTCCCTGGCGGGCAGCTGGAGGATTCTAGAGTTCTTAAGGGAGTCATGATAAACAAAGATGTGGTTGCCCCTGGCAAAATGAGGAGAAAGATTGTTAACCCGCGAATCATCCTTTTGGATTGCCCCCTTGAGTATAAAAGGGTGAAAACCAAACAAATGCTGAGCTGCTCAGGGAAGAAGACTGGAACATCTTGTTGAAGATGGAAGAAGAATACATCGAGGAGATGTGCATGCAGATATTGAAGTTTAAACCAGACTTGGTTGTTACGGAGAAGGGACTTAGTGATTTGGCATGTCATTATCTGAGTAAGCATGGAGTCAGCGCAATCAGGAGGCTGAGGAAAACTGATAATAATAGAATTGCAAAGGCATGCGGTGCTGTTATTGTGAACAGACCAGATGAATTGCAGGAGTCTGATGTTGGGACTGGTGCTGGGTTATTTGAAGTTAAGAAAATTGGAGATGAGTTTTTCGCATTTATTGTTGATTGCAAAGACCCTAAAGCTTGTACTGTACTTTTAAGGGGTGCCAGTAAGGATCTCTTAAATGAAGTTGAAAGAAACCTCCAGGTAAGCTTATTGTCTGATACATGATCTGAGGGCATGCATTTTTTCACATCACTGCTTTCTGAAGCTTGTTTTCATGCCAGGATGCTATGTCTGTTGCAAGGAACATTATAAAAAATCCAAAGCTTGTTCCTGGAGGTGGGGCTACGGAGTTGACTGTATCAGCAGCTTTGAAGCAGAAGAGTTCATCCATCGAGGGCATAGAGAAGGTGAATGTGACATTGCCGTTTCTTCTATTTGAGGACCACTTCATATGGAGCACTTCTCTTGTTTTCCCCTCTCTTTTTTTTTAACAAAATATTTTAATTGATATCCTTTGGGCCATGAGTCCTGACTGCTATGATTCTTGCTGACAGTGGCCTTATGAAGCTGCTGCCATTGCGTTTGAGGCCATACCCCGTACTCTAGCACAAAATTGTGGGGTAAATGTGATTCGGACCATGACTGCACTGCAAGGAAAAGTAAGACCAGAAATATTTGCTTATGCTATTGTGCTTCCCCCCCCCCCCCCCGGGGCCCCAATATTTAATTTTGATTTTGGTGTTGGGAACTTGTAGCATGCAAATGGAGAGAATGCATGGATTGGCATTGATGGAAATACTGGTGCCATCGCTGACATGAAAGAGCG